AGAGAAGAGAAAACTGCCACTTAATACTCTTATGTGTGTAATTTTCTCTGACATGTTTAATTTTCTTTGCCATGTGTAAATTTCTCTGGCATGTTTAATTTTCTCTGTGATGTTCAATTTTCTCTGGATTTCTCTAGTTTCAACTCAGAGAAATTTCAATTTTCTTTGGTTTGAACCCAGAGAAATTCTTTGGGAAGTCCAGAATTTCTCTGGGAAGTCCAGAGAAATTCTCTGAATTGAATTTCTCTAGATTGATGTTGAGGGACCTTATACATTATGAAAATATTGAATGTTCTTTATGCTATAAAATCTTAATACTGGGGACCCTAAAAAAAATCCCTGAGAAGTCCACAATATATATATATATATATATATATTTGTAGCCTAAGGTCTCTCACCTATTTATAAGTATGTATCTCACTCACACTATATATCTCACCCAATCTCTCATTCTCTCTCCTCCACTCCATCGTTGCCTCTTCTGTGCCGTCGTCGATCAACATGGCCAAAGAAGATTGCCCCGTTCCAAATCTCCCATATCAACATGGCCGAAGTAGATCTACTTGTATGGTTAAGAAATACAAGCGAAGAAAAGAGATGGGAAGAAAAGCATATCGAGTCCATGGAAGGAGCTTATTTGTGAGAAAGTGAGGTTGGTATTTGAATGGATTGGTTGTTGAACCTATCTCTCAAATCCTCTCTCTTTCTTTGCTTGGCTTTTTTGTTCCCCTCTCTGTTATCTTTTTGTCTTTGCTCAGCTAAGAGAACTTCAGGAATCTTGAGTTTATGAAACTTTGGATTGAGGCCCACAAGAATTGAGAGATTGTCTTGGGTTTTGGCATTGAGAGAGACAAAGAAGAAACTAATTGGTGGTTGATTTATATTCATCAAAGTTGAAATCTTTGCTTATTGAGAAAAGAGAATTTGGGAAAGATGAGAAATGAAGTTGAAAGAGAAAAGAAAACTGTCACTTAACATTGTAATTTTCTTTGGCATGCTTAATTTTCTCTCTCATGTGTAATTTTTTCTAGAATACTTAATTTTCTCTAGTTTGAACCCAGAGAAATTCTTGCGAAAATCAGAGAAATTTTCTAGAAGCAATCCAGAGAAATTTTGTAAATGGTTTTCTGAAATTAAAGTTCAATTATGAAAATTTGAGCAGTTTAGATGATGCCCTTTTTCCCTCTGTTTGGTTGTTGAGAGAACTTAGGAAATAAGTAGGAAAAGATGAATTCAATTTTAATGTTGATTGATAATGTTGTCAATCAAAATTCAATATAATTAAGCAACCAATTGAATTCGGCAACATGATGGTGAAATATCTGAAATTCAAAATTTTGTTATTGATCTGAATGGTGGCTTTATGTTTTTTTTTTTATTTTTTCTACGAGTTGAAATCGCTTTGTGTTAGCTTTTTGATCAATTTTCTCTAGTTGAATCAAAACACAATTTTCTCTGGTTTGATCAAAACACAAAGAAAATTATGAGCAAACCAAAGAATTTGGGAAAGATAAGGAATGAAGTTTGAAGAGACGAGAGAATTGCCACTTAACACTCTTGTGTAACGCCCCGACCCTTTACACGTCATCGATATTGTCCGTTTTTGGTCACGCCCGCACGGATTTGTTCTTCCCAGTGGGTTACCCATCCTAAAACTACTCCAGCCTAAGCACGCTTAACTGGGGAGTTCTAATAGGGATTTCACCACTTGGGAAAAGGCCTCGATGCTTTATAAGGGTCCAGGTTTTTACTTTTATAGCTTAGGAACTCCCCCTCCATTCCCGATGTGGGACACCGGGGCCTTACAATCCACCCCCATAAGGCTACACGTTCCCGTGCAGTAGCCTGCCAGCTCGCAAGCCCGCCCACATGCACCGAGAGATGCCAAGGGCCCACACTCGGTACTCCGGAGAGTCGGCTCTGATACCATTTGTAACGCCCCCGACCCTTTACACGTCATCAATATTGTCCACTTTGGGTCACGCCCGCACAGATTTGTTCTTCCTAGTGGGTCATCCATCCTAGAACTACTCCAACCTAAGCACACTTAACTGGGGAGTTCTAATAGGGATTTCACCACTTGGGAAAAAGCCTCGATGCTATATAAGGGTCCAGGTTTTTACTTTTATAGCCCAGGAACTCCCCCTCCATTCCCGATGTGGGACACCGGGGCTTTACATCTTGTGTGTGTAATTTTCTTTAGCATGCTTAATCTCTCTGCTATGTTTAATTTTCTCTGGTCTAAACCTAAAGAAATTCTTGCGAAAATTAGAGAAATTCGTTAGAATCCAAAGAAAATCTCTAGACTACAATCTAGAGAAATTCTCTAGCCTTCTTAGAAATTCTCTAGATCAATTTTTTTTTGGATTGAATTTTCTCTAGAAAGTCCAGAGAAATTCTCTAGATCGAATTTTTTCTGTATCGATGTTGAGGGACCTTAGACATTATGAAAATATTAGATGTCCTTTATGCTATAAAATCTTGATACCAAGGATCCTAAAAAGAATTACCATTTGTTAATTACTTAACACAAATAATTAATACTTCATATTCTCCACCAATCAGACTGCTATAAAATACCATATAACCGTACTCCCAAACTACCAAATAATCACCAAGTGTGAATTTGTTCACAATCTACTATATTATGATTCGATGAGATGATAGGGCATGTGATGGGTCAACATTTTTTAGGGGCAATGATACATAACTTTAAAAGTAAAACTCTAATTGGAGCTCTACTGAGCTGGCAAGGAAAAAAAAAACATAGACACGGACACAAACATCACATCACAGGTGAGGCGCACTACATTAGAACTCTCTTTTTTTAGAGCTCCCTTAAAAAAATAAATAAATAAATTAGGGTTAATTACAACAAAAAAAAAAATCGCGAGTTTTTCAATTTAAACCCCAGAATTTCAATTTCGGTAAATTAAACCCTAGAGTTTCACCCGTGTTTCAATCTAACGAAAATCTGGACAGTATTTCAGATTCAAACTCACATGTTCAAACACTTGTATCTCCTTCACCGTAATTCCGTTTTGTCTCATTTTTATATTGTTGGATTAACCTTATGGCCTAGTTTCCACATCTTTTTACTTGCCGTCGGAGCTCTGAAAGTTGGCCAAAAATAAATTGTTATCTCTTTGGGTAAAATTTTCGAATTCAAATCCACATATTCAAACACTTATATCTCTCTCATCGTAACTCCGTTTCACTTCACTTTCACGTCGTTAGATTCAACTCATAGCTTAATTTTTATGCCACCCCACATATGCCTTATTTCACCTCTTTTTACATATCATCGGAGCTCCGAAAGTTGGCCAAAAATAAGATTTTTCTCTTTTCATTTTTTGTTTTTTTTTTATTTTTCCTTGCTGCTACCGCAACATTATTCTTGGCAGTGGAGATGCAATGGATGATGCTTAATTGGAAACCAACGCGCCCTAACATGCTCATCAACCAATTTGGTCTTGGATTTTTATGTGTAGTTGTACACCTATCACTACTTGACGACACCGCCACCATTATCACCGCCATCTCATCTTGCATATAATGATGAGAAAAAAAATTATTTTGGTCAACTTTCGGAGATCCAACGACATGCAAAAAAAGATGAAACAAGGCATAGGAGAGTAGAATAAAAACTAGGTCATGAGTTGAATCTAACGACGCAAAAATGAGGTGAAATGGAGTTACGACGAGAAAGATATACGTGATTGAATATATGGATTTGAATATGAAAATTTTGCCCAAAGAGAGAAAAATTTTATTTTTGGCCAACTTTCAGAGTCCCAACGGCAAGTAAAAAGATATGGATTAAGGCGTATGAAGAGTGGAATGAAAGGTAGGTCATGAGGTGAATTCAACAACGTAAAAATGAGGCGGAATGGAGTTGCAACGAAGGAGATACAAGTGTTTGAACATGTGGGTTAAAATATGAAATTCTGCCTAAATTTCAATTAGTTTAATATGATGAAGATGGATGGAGGGGCCTGATTGAAATACGGATGAAACTCTAGGGTTTACTTTGTCGAAATAAAAATTTTGGGGTTTAAATTGAAAAACGCGAAACTTTTTTTTGTAATTAACCAAAAAAATACAAATAAATAAAAACGTTTATGGGATTTTAATAATTAAAATATTATACTTTTTTATGATTTTATATATATATTTTTTTGTTGTCCCATTATGTAGTTATTTACCCTTTTTTGTTTATTTATTTATTTTTAACTGTATTCAGACTTGCTAAAAATGTGATTGTTATATATTTAACAACTAAAGGTTACTAATCGGTGTTTTTGTTTAAAATAAAAAAATAAACTAAAGGTTGGTTACTGATCGTGGTTTTTTTTTAAATAAAAAAATAAAAATAATAACTATCACATCTTTACCAAGGCTTTTACTTCATTTAGTTACTAATAAATTTTAAAATATATATGTTTAATAATTCACGTTTTCATGCAGCTTGCTAATAAAGTGCAACAAATTTCCTTTTATATATATACATACATACATATATATATATAAGTTTAATAAAATAAAATAAAACATTTAAAGCACCCACTGTATATGAGAAAAAATTTAGATGGGCTCCATTATACAATTGCTCATTGTTGGATTTTTAGAGTCCGATCGTGAGAAAGTAATTTCTCATGAATTTTCTAATCCGTATGGGTGGCTTATCTTTTACCATCTTATAAAAAAAAAAAAAAAATAAAAAGTTAAGATACACATAAACTGACCCGAACACTCTTAACAGCTAAAAATAAAAATAAAAATAAAAAACAAAAATCTAGTAGGTCTAGTGTAAAATGACATTACAGTCATTTTCGTTCCTATTGTTAAACAAGATGATAATATATCCCTATCATTAGACAGACAAATGACCATGTTGTGACAGACCAAATAAACCACTTAAATTTCTCATATGAGGCGCGTCAAAACAGAAAGCAAGGATGAAGCACATCTGTATTTGTCTGGTTGCAAATACTCCAATATTGACAACTTTTAAGAGATCTCATTGCTCAAAAATTAATTACAATGCCACAAGTCAAATTAAATAATATAAGAAAAAAGAATGTTAATCACAAAATGACTCAGTTTACGTCCTCTAATTACAAACTTTCTGAGGATAGGAACCAACATAAAACAGAATCAAAACCAAAAACCCACCATGGAGGCCATGGCAATCTATCTCATCACAACAAGCTCAGTTGCACTACCAAAAACAAAATTGAGTGGACCTCTTTCAAGGCTCTATTATGCTAACTGGTAAGCTCACGCCCCTTCGACTCTGCTTTCAAATTTTTCAACAGCAAAAATCATATTCATCCATTCTTTCTTCAATATAAGGAAATATGAAGCATCCCTGTAAACTAAACCGCACTTGAACTTTAATAGTAGTAATTGTTATCGTTGTGGTTCACAGCATTCTTAGATAGCATTGAGCGCACTGCCATTATAGATCGGGGTGGCTCAAGATCTTTCTCCTGCAATGCATTCCCAAGCAACTGTTGCATTTGTGATGCAAATATGTCGTCTAAAATCTGCAAACTCAACCCTATAGTCCTCAGAATAGTAATCATTTAATCAGATAATGAAGCAAATGGTCACAGTGATATTGGCATTACACTCGGTTTGCATTTTAGACAAACAGATAAAGAAGCAAATAATTACTAAAAGAATATAGTAGCTTGATCTATACATGTTCTATCAGAAGCATGAAACATAATCATAAGAAATATGCCATTCAACTGTCTCCGTTCCAAAAGGGCTAAAATTGTTTTTAAGACAAAAAAAGATGACCCATTGCACAAGTTTCCATGACTCGAACCAGCTCCCAACCAGGATGCTAAACTGGGGTTTGGAGAGGGCAAGATGTTTGAAACTGTAGATAAAATTCTATTTTGCTTCCGGCATGCCATCCTATAGAATACAGAAATTCAATATACTTCACTGAAATTCCAACCTTAAATGGTTCAAAAACTCAAAACATAAAAACGTGTACTATTAAAATCAAGATGAAATGGTATTGTTCTTGTACTTTGTCATCATCAAGGCCGTTGATAGAATAACAAACTTGTAAAAGGAGAACCAATTTCCAATAGAAGAGCAGGGTGCTTACCGACACTGCGACTCGTGATCCTTTATACCAGGACCTGTTCTCTTTTCTGTTCTCCAAAAACCTCAGCATGTCCTGCAACAGAGGTGATGAGTTACATTTAAGATGTACTGAGAAAGCTTATATCTTGTAAAATGCTCCAATTGCAGCCTACCTGTCCCATCTGATCCCAGAAACCTCGGCAGATTATTATGAACAACTGAGTTTCAAAGACGGTATGGAGGTGATCGATCGTGTTTACCAGGAGATCCTTCAAAGGCTGCATTCTACTTCGAATATCTGGTTCCATTACAACCTCTTTTGAGTCTTGGATTATCTTCTTCAACTTTGTTGTACTCTGCACCCTTGTCTATATTATGGAAAGAGACAAGTCAAGAACCAATTTCCAGAACTATAACTACAGTTGAAGGGCATTTATATCTAATAGTTTCTTTTGCCTAGACCTCAGGCTGTGAGGAGTTTCCAGTTTTTGGCTAGTTGTCTTCTCTTTGTAGGTATGCCTTTAGGTATGTGTTTGGAGCTTTATTGTAATCTCTGTTTTTGATAATAAAATTAATTTACCTACCAAAATATATACATTCTCTATTAAGATGCAAAAGCATATTCGAGTAGAGTCATTTGTATCTATTTACTTGCTTTTCCAATTACCATAGTGTGATCAATTAGTCCAAATTCTACACAAGGTACTTGCTTTTCCACTTACCATAGGTGATCAATTAGTCCAAATTCTACACAAGGTAACTGTAGTTGGGACTACTGAGTAACTGATAAACAAACAAATATAAAATATTCTGCAAGAAATAAATTAAAAAGATGATCTGCCAGAAAGATAAGTGAAGAGCACCCACATTTTCTGCTAGTTTCTCCACCACTGCTTGCAGGTAATTTCGAAATTTGGTTCGCAGCATTACTGTTACTTCACTGAGATACTCTCCTGCGACTGCGTTTCCACCATCAACGATACAAGAACCCCATGACTTCAACTGAGCTTCTATCTTGGGTCGCAGAACATCAAGCATCCACTTCAAGGAATTCAAAAGAATTCCCAGCTGAAAAATCAGGTGTAAGCTATTGTTGCCCGTACAAAAGAAAAGTAACAGTTTTGCAGAAACTTGATAGAAGTGAGTGTAATAATAGCTCACCTCCTCGGGGACAATATAAATGCATACAGTTCCTTTTGCAATTTTCTGTACATACTTGAGGCCAACTCTAATTGGAGTTAGATTCTCCTTCAATGGGTATAAAACATCACTGTACTGCTTGTCCAAAGTATCCACAATATCCTTCTCAACATCGGCTATAGCCTTTGATAGATAGAGAACCAAAGCACATGTAAGGTTCATAAATTTGTGTTAATTGGGAAAAAGAAAAATTAAAGAAACCAAAAAAACAAAAAAATATATATATTTTACTTGGTTGGAACCAAAAGTCAAACTGATCAAAAGCCTAGCAGATCGGATTTACTAATGTTTATGTTATCAACAACATAAAATATTATTTAAGAAGTCCTTCAACCTCCCCATCCTAAAAACTTTAGTCCTAATAAATCACCTAGGATGGACTAGCCATTCTGTTTAAATACTTGTTTTTCAATGTCATAACCCACTTTATTTTGTTCTTCGTTTTCCTTTTCAATATCTTTGGGTTAAAAAAAACTTTAAAATTAAAAAACAAAAAACAAACTCAAGGGACCAGACCAACCAAAAAACCCTGTTGTACAGAATCCCAACAGAATCAGTGGGAAGAGGGTAGGTCCCAAGACCTTCGCTCAAGTTGTGACCAAAAAAAAAGATAGATAAACTTTGGCCCAAGTTGTAACCATTTCCATTCAAAAAAATAATGGTGAAATTGGAATGAAGAGCATATATGTGAACATACATTCTCCAAGATGAGAGTATATTCTGGCCAGCGACAAATAATGACTTCATATTCATTCAGCGTCTCCTTCAGCCGGTCATACATATCATCAACAAAAGGAGTTGTGGAATGTTGTGTTCTAACAGTGGACCACTTAACCTGAAAGTAAACAATTTCTAGTCAGTTATCAAGGATAATTACAAAAATAAACTTGTAGCAAAACTTCATAGCATTACTATTTTTTATTTTTTTATTTTTTTATAACGTTATTATTGGTCTATCTGCTTACTACTCATCAAGGAAATATATTAACTGAGTCTATACCGCAGCTACTTTATATAGGGTTAAAACTGATATCAATCCATCCATCTTCAAGAGAAAGAAGAAGAGACAATATTTCTTGATTTGATTTTTCTGATATAAATAGCTGAAGTACTAAAACTAAGTAATTTTTTATGAGGGTTCCAAAATCAACAACATGCAATGGATTAGATAATCCAAGGGAACCATGCCACCATATACCCTGCAATTATGACTTGTACCTTATCAACCTTGCATGATTCAAGCAAAGCAAGACGTTTGTCTTGAATCCATAGGGTGATATATAAGTGGAACAGCTCTTTTGCATCAACACCACCTTTGATTGGACTGTGGAAAGTTCATTAGATGAGTGAAGATCAGACATAAAAACAAATTTATCAAAAATATAGAAATGAAGTAAGAATAATAATTACTTAATATTCCAGCTAACAAGATCCTTCTGGAAATCAGCTGTTGCAATAACTAGTTCTGTCACAGGAGGTGAGGGTCCATTTGGTGGACATGCAACCAAGAATTCACGCAATCTATTGCAAAGCTCCACGCTATATATGGAGGAAGACAGATTCGGAAGTTCTATAAAACTGTCAAAAAAAATCACTATATTAGGCATTAAGAATCAATCATTAACGGTACAATTCAAAGAGAATAAATAACCACATCTACTGAATAGAAAGATTATGATTTAACAACACAAAATCACACAAGAGCTTGACTAGTGCATCTGGGGAATGAAACTGAATCACATTTTTTGCATGACAGTTCATAACTTAATCCCATTTTCAGCAAAACATGGACCTGAGTCCAATTTTTAAGTCGTTTCCCTGCCTATGTATTAAGTCCTCCCAAAACAATATACCCATTAAGTGGTAATCAGTGGGTCAAGCTGAAGCATTAACATGTTGAGAAACTCAGTTTTGACTTGCAAGGAATTTTTTTTACCTGGGAAGTACTTGCTGATTTTGAATTTCTATGTCGGTAAAAATTTCATTTTTTATATTCAAACAAAGAGATTTCATCTTCTGGTAAGATGTACAAAGAGTCACAGAATCCATCAATGTACTCCCATTATTGGAAACAAACTCATCTGTTTCTGACAAGTGCCTTCTGGACCTCTTTTTGGCTGCAATCTAGACAAACAAAGACAGTACTTCAGAAAGAGAAATTGAAGCATTGAGGCTGAGAAGAAACAGAACCATGCAGAGTTGCAAATACCTGAAAATATCTGCTAAGTTTCAACTGTGCCTCAGAAGAGAGTATGTCATGAAGAAGATTGTATAGCTTCAAAGCAGGTTCAAGAGCAGGTGCGGCCAATCCAGTTGCAGGCCTGAAAATATCCACCATTCCTGATTGTGATGATTCATCAAGTGACTTGTAATTCTCAAAAACCAGAGCAAGAATCTCCTCAATCCGATCAAAAACTTCCCCCAGGATGCGATTCTGGCCAGTAATCCATGAATCATTCACAATATTAGAAAGAGAGGACGCACTTATTATGCAGATAATTGCGTCAAACAGTTGTTTTCAAATTTTCGAGAGATCTTTTTTCAGAAACATGAAAATGATATAAAAATGGTGGTGTTTTTGATCTTTATATTGTTTTGTTTCCAATGAAACTAAAAAACAAAAACACAACCATACAGGCCCAGTAGTTTCTGGGCAGAACAGTCCCCTCCAATCTGATAAACTTGGTACTGGAAATCACTGAAGACTATCATATACTCCTAGCAGAAAAAGATCAAAATGGAAATTAACTTGCACCTCCTGATGACTCAATGCGCCCTTAACATTGCTTTTCATAACTACAGGTACTAGCAACTCATGCACCAATGACAGACAGTCTGCAGTGGGTGTTGCCACATCCATAACATAAGAAAGGTATCTGAAATGCAGTGTGAGTTATTAAAAAAATTTGATTAGTAATGTGAATTGTAACAAATTATCCAAGGATATGTTGAAGGAAAAGATAACACACTTCACAAAGAAACATCAATTTAACATTCAGGAAAACATCCTACCAAATCCAAATACCTTAACTTAGTGTATGCGTCCGAAACTCCATAGTAGGATGCAAACTCGGTTATTAACCACTTCCAGGGACCATGCAGTAACAAATTTCTTTGCTTTACCTGATCTACCTGAACTTTCATTGCAACCTCTAACACTAAGTCATATGCCACAGTTTCGGCAACAGAACCACACTAGCGACAAAAAGGAATGAAGTTAGTGGCAGAAAACTAATTTAGAAGCCATTATAAACACGTTACCAATACTCCGCGTAATCTTTCATTGTAATAGAACTAAGTTCAACGTATCCACACAATTAAACATATTTTAAGGGCAAATTACCAACACCCCCCTTGAGGTTTAGCTAAAGTACAGATTGCCCCTTGTAGTTCTGAAAATTACATCACACCCATATAATTTCTTTGCTCCACCCTATAATCCACTCTTACGCTAAAACCACCACAATCTACATCTAAGCCTCCTTATGCAAAATTCCCTAAATTTGTCCTACATCAAATGGTTAGGAATATTCCCACAAATTTGTGAATTAGACAAGATCCTCTCATGTAGAGTAGCAAATACTGAAACAATCTTATGTTTCATTACGTTATAGAGCCTCACAATTTGATTTAATCAAATTTCAAAAATATTATACTGTTATACCATATAAACATACTGAATATTTGTGCCTAATCATATCTTACAACACATTCAATGCAGTACACTTGAAGTTGTAAACACTGATTTCTATCTTTCCTTAGCATTGAAGATATAACAGGGACAACAAGGTCATTCATTAAAAGCCTAGATATCCTGCAAGCATCAATTTTTTTGCGTGGAAGAATGTAAGGGCATATCGCACTATGGCCTGTAGGACATCATGCCATGCTACTTGATACCTCAATTTAATTTGGCAACGTAAATACATCTATCACAAAACAGGTTAGGAAATTTAATTATAGCTCTGATATTCATTTAAGCTACTTATATAAATATATCGTGTACCTTGAGATGACTATTCTCATCTGGACTAGTTGAGTAGTTTATGTACAATTGTATTCTTCCAACGAGTTCATGCTCCGGCTCCTGATAGATGGACCACCAGCGAAGCTTGCCCTGCATTCAACCAATACATAAACCTTCTAGAATAGCTGTCTCTCATCCTAATCCTAGCAGTTAATAGTGAGATCAAAGATCATACTGGGTCTTCAGCAATGGTGGCCACTTGAGCAACGACATGACCACAATGCTTTCCCTTGGAATCATGGACTTCTATAATCAGATCATCTCCAAGACCATCTGGCAAGCTGTATTATGATAGCACAGAAATAAAACCATCCATCTCTAGATAATAGAAAAAGTAAAGCTATAAAAATAAAATAAAAAACCTATGTATAACATACAATATATGGGTTTCACTAGATCCGGGCTGCATTCGAACTGCATCCTCTTGAGATGAACTTTTCAGCCCCAACAAACAAGAATATGTTTCTGGCAAAAAGAACAACAGATCACTTTAAGGAAAATTGTTCACAAAAGGAAAACAAACCAATATAGCTGACTTAAGATAATGAAATTTAATTATTGACCTTGTGTAAGGCCAATGTGAGGCCAATGTGACCAGACCATAGTGACTGGGGACAAATCAAAATAAGACTGAACTTGGAAAATGTTCAGGTCCAGATCATCTCAATAATTTTCTGATGTTCTTTTCAGACAGGTTTGTCTAGCTTATGTGCTTCTAAAAAATGAGTAAGCCCAATCTCTATGCAGATTAAGTGTATAAATGTTGTCCTTAAAAAGTTCGAGGAAGAAAAAATTCAAAGATGAAAATAGTATCAAAATGGCTCTGTTGCTTAAGAAAGTTAAGCTCAAGTCAAGTCTTTTTTTATGATATTGTAGAACTAAAAGCTGTAATTTACTTTTATTTATGTTTTTTTCTTATGTTTTCCGTACCAGAGTGTTTCTCAAATTTCATACTCTTTAGCTCTCTTAGCTGTGATGCATGGCTCTCTTTTTTCTTTTTATTTCTTTTTCTTTTTTTTCCCTTTTTGTTACTTCAACTTACCTTGCACTACTTCATAAGATGATGAACTACTACGGAAAGTAGTGGCACCGGCCTTTAAAATCCCAGACACCTCCTTAATATACCTAGTGCCAGCATGCATGTATGCCAAGCTTTGACGTGAAAAAGAGCTGTTTGCAGGAATACGAGGGGCCACACGAACTGTACGAATAACTCCCCATGCAGATGAAATAGTCGATTTTGCATTGGACATATGAAACCGAAGCGATTCCAGTTTTACCATAGAAGGTTTTAGAGATGAAAAACTGCAGCCTGTGGGGAGGTCTTTTGCCATTTTCACTTTTCGAACTGTACAATGACCGCATTTTCAGATTAGATGCAGTACTGAAACCAAGAAATTAGAAATTAATAAATAAATAAAAACAAAGTGGTACCTTGCACTTTCATTTTGCCAAAGGTTTTCTTAGGCTTTACAGCCACTCCCTCACTGCTTAATTCTGAAGATGGCTTCCTGAGTAGTTCGTCTTCTGGTTGCAGCAATACTTGTTGCAAACTATATTTTACCAAGACAAAAGTTGTAAAGATAAATGACATAAAAATTACAAATCTGAAAGTTCAATTCACGAAGCATATCTCAAGATGTAGTACAAGGCTGAAAAGCAAATTCTAGCATTTGCATATTGAACAGATAACAGAAGGTTCAAAATAGAAAATTTAAGTTTTGTATGCCAGACACAGCACTTTGATTTTCTTCTGTAACATTTTTCGTACAGCTGCCAGTGAAGCGCAATACAGCAAGTCCAAAACCCAAAACTATATTTCTACTTTGTTTCTTCAAGTTTAATAGATAAATATCAATAATCAGTCCTAAAATTCTCTACAAAACAAAACCAAAGAACTACGGACATGAACATATACAATAAAAAAAGAAAATAAAAGGAGTGGAAAATAATTGACAACAAACTCACCCAAATGCATTTCGCAACAGCATACTTTCATTTTCTAAGAAGATGGGAGCTTCCACACAACCCCTAGCCCATGAATAAAGGCATAGCCGAACACATGCATCATACGAAATCACAGCACACCATGGACCTAGGCCACTGAATCCAATTCAAATTAAAAATAAGAACAGGTGATGAAAGCAACAAACAAATCAATCAAAAATCAATTTACTCATATTTTAGTTACCTTGCATGAAATGTGGGACGTTGAGCTGGTAAAGAACTGGAAGACATAGCAGCTTCCACACCACCAGTAGCCCTGTGAAGCATAATGAAGAAACAATACTTATCAAAAGAAATTCCCCCAATGGAATACGAAAAAAACATAATACACTTCACACTTACTTTTGAGCTGGATCACAAATTCTATTTGGAGTACTACCACATGCAGTAGCATCTGCAGGCACGCTTCTAGTGAAGTTTGGTCCATCTGTAGTTGTAGAACCATGTGAACTTTCAGAGCAAGGTGTACCATGTCCTCTAAAAGTTGAGATTTGCTCGGCAACTTGATTAATTTCCTGAACAGAGTCAGCAAAAGGAGGTGCACTGGGGACACCATCATCAAAAAGTTCCTTATTCTGCAATCTTTTGCCTCGAAAATCCTGAAACCAGTCATCCAGGCAAGAGCAGCAGTACAGTGTTGTTAATATCTTATGATTCATGATAATTATATTACGATTCGATATGTTTAGAGGTAAATTGAGACATATTTCCAATTCATATTTCATGAAAAATGTATCTTACAATTCATAATGTGATACATACCATACATGAATACTTTTTTTCTTTAACATTTTTGAAAGAAGCAACTTAAGCTTTTTTTGTGTGAAAATTAATATCATAAGAAAGGTTCAGTAACTTCTTAAAAAAAAGAACTTGTTAAATGAGAAGGGTACTTTTTATTTTGTTTTGTCTAACTTCTTTTCAAATATCTCCTTGTTTGGTATTAGTATTACTATCTTATGCTATTGATTGATACCAAATTACATCAGATAAAACTTAAAAAAAGTTTTTTACTATGTAAAAACTATTTGGGAATATTAAATTTGTAAATCAAAAATTAAATTAAAACATTATGATTTAAGACAATACAAAAAATATATTATACTATTATTAAAAAATGAGATAAAATTGAGGGAAAATTTGATTCAAGGACATAATTATTTAAGTATTGATGCACACATATATTTATTTTTAGGAACCTTACTTTTGTAATGTCATCATGTTAATGATTATAGATTGTTTAATGTTTTATTCTCACAAGATATTTGTGTTTTTAATATATATATATACTTTCAGCTTATTTTTTAAAAAGTCAAAAAAAATTTATGATTCATGATATATACAATAATATACACCATTTAGAAAATATATAATAAAAAAAAAAAATCATACATGATTTGTATCCTGATTTGAGAACTATGAGTAGCACAAGTACAAAAAAATAAGAAAAATCAAATATAATCAAATGATAGAATTAATAAATTTGGGAAAAAATAATAAACCAATGAACAACATAACTGTTTGCCTTGCTCTTTGTCTTAGGAACAGCAGTTTAGCCAGAAATTAGTGAAAATGTATTCAAAGTAAGAGAAAGTCATCCAGATAGTTCAGAAACAGTTCGATTTAAAGCTAAACATAGATGGCTGCCGATCAGTTTCATAGTTACAAGTTATATCCTTTGCAAATCTTGTACACATGAATTATACGATAATTTTTTTTCAATACATAACCAAGCCAAGCCTTAAGTCCCATCAAATAAGGTCGGCATGTGTACTTGTAATTAACATTAGGTATCCAGCCATCTTAAATAACAAGTTATAATCTAGTTCTTCATATGATATAAACCAATTTGCCTCCAATGTATCATTTCAATTGTATGCTTTGCTATTCAAATCATTAACTAACTGTAAAGTACAAATTCAAAAACAAAACCTGTTTGGCTGTTGTCTTCACATTTGGCTGTGAATGAACACTGGATAGTAACCTGCTGAACTGCATCTCCCTGGTGACCTACACTGTCATTGCTACTCCTTAAATAGTGTAGACGTCGCTTCAGAGCTAGCAACTGAAACTGATGATTCATCATCTCCCAATTTCTCCAAACAACGACCTTGTTTCCTTTCAATTCTATCCCTTGATGAACTTAATTCAGAATGAACAGGATCATTAGCATAATTAATCTTTCTAACCACAGAATTGGTGCTTTTGGGACCAGTTCCATTGTAAATTTTATCATCTTGGGGTGATGTATCAAGTGAGTAACGTGCACCATAAACCTCATCATCAGAATCCGAGCTTAAGTCCATGTCTGATCCTGACCCACCGCCATTTCCGCCAACAGGGATCGCCGGTGACACAGGAATTACCCTTGATGGCAAGTACCCACTATGGAACTTAGCGGGAGATGGCATTCCATACCCACCAGCACGGCCATAATTCCTCAGCCCAAAAATAGTTTCAGATTGCAATTTTTTAGGAGACATAGAAGAGGGACTGTCTTTCTTCTTCGAAATACCCTCCTAATTCATTGAAAAAATTCGAGCCCATCAATAAATTCACAGTGAATTCAATTCACTACCCTTTAATTTTTAAACATCAATAAAAAAAAAAATTAAAACAAATCTTTAAAATGCTAAAAACTAATAGTGATATTAGGCTCACCTCTCGAACCCATCTACGGGCATTATCATCAAGGCCTTCAGTGAACATTGTCAATAGGGTTTTGTGTTCACCTAAAACATCAATACATAGAGAAACAAAATCAATGAGAACATCAAAACTTGTTCAGAAGATACCAATAAACAAAGCCCGTCTGATTCCTAAGAAGAATAAAGAAAAAGAATAGAAAAGGAAAGTGAGATTCCTTACACTATGAAGTTACACAATGGGTTTCTTTACACTATGAAGTTACTGTAATGAGATTCCAAGTCTTCTTTTTCTTTCTGTTTTTCCTTGAAGTTTCTCAACAACCAAACAGAGTATCAAGATTGTACTCACTCACATACTAATCAAAGGGAAGAAAACGAATAGCCAATGTTCCACGAAAAATCAGTGCTTGGGGAATCTGAAACAAAATAAAAGAAACGAATATTATTCAATGTATCACAAAATTCACTTTCTATAAATACATAGCAAAACATTAAATTACATACAAATATATATTTATAGAAAGAAAATATATATGGAGAGAGAATTGAGAACGTTGCAAAATAGCCCAGTATGACAATAACAGAGGAAGAGAACAGAAGTAAAAGAGACTATTCTGATTCTGATACTCTTTTTCTCTTTCTTTCTTTCTCCAAAATGGTTTTTCACTAACTTTTTTTTATTTTTGACTTCAATCACTTTCCCTCTGTTTTTTTATACATTTGATTGATGGAAAATTACAAATTGCATGATGGGTAATTTTGTCAAAAAATTAAATTAAATTCTCGAATCTTAATTTTGAAGCACAGTATTTGAAATGAGATTTTAAATGGTTCTTATCGACCAATTATTTTTTGTAAAAACGAAAAACAAAGAAAAGAGACGTTACAAGAACGATACGTACGGAAACATAGGATAACGGCGGATTTGCAGATATTAACGGAGACGTGTTAACGTGAAGCTGACGTGGCAAGTCAAATAAGTCTGCCTGCCCCGTTTGCAATGCCAGATCGTTTGTTTAGTGGCGCTACACTACTTGGTGTTGGTGCAGGCTTAGGCTTTTATATTTGTTTATGAAATAATTATAAATTTTAAGTGTAGTCATTCGGTGAGTATTTAAAAAAGTAATTAAAATATTTCATAATTAAATTTAATTATATCATATTTTTTAAATAAATATATTGATATCATTATAAATTAAAAAATTTTTTAAATAAATTCAATTATATATCACTACAAATGTAAATTTTAATAAAATTAATAAATATAAAGTTTAGATCCTAATAAAAAATATATATTTTAATATATTATAAATAAATAATTAATTAATTTAATAACGAATCAGACCCAATTAAAAGTATAAATTTCAGATCCAACGAATTAATATTTCATGCTAAAAATATTGATCCAATTCAATCCTATGCGTTAAAACCACCGTCCAGAACCTTAGAAAAATATATGATTGGACCGGAAAGATTGGGGGGGCCAGCGGCCAAGTGCACACACACTCTGTGCTGCCATGGAAAAGTAGGGGCCACAAGTCAATTATAAAGAAAGACTTTCAAAGTTCTCAATTGGGACTCTGGCTGTGTCCACTGCTACAAATTTCTTGGTGATTAAGAAATGTTTAATAATACTGACAAAGATGCCTGTTGAGGTCACCACTCTTGCTTTACACATGTGCCTTTTTTTCATTAATGCTATGAATAATTATCAAGTTTAAAGGTAAGACTGGCTACACATCTCAAAAAAAAAAAAAATGAAAAATCCTTAACCCTTTGGTTAATTTGCAGCCAATTTGCAGCCAATTGAATGTGCTATCAGATTGTTTGGTTAGGGGATTTGAGGGGAGATTTAAAAAGAAAAATAAAAAAAATAAATAAAAAATAGGTAAAATTTAAATAAAACATACCTATATTTCACCTAATTTCACACATTTTTTTCCTTTTCCTTTCCAAATCTCTTCCCAAATTCTCCAACCAAACATAGCGTAATTGTTTTATAATTCATACCTAATAAAAATAAAACTAAAAACCTTATTATCCACCTAATCAACCTTTCATCTTTGATTTGCAACCAATCGAGTGTGCTCAATTTTGTGTAATAAATTTTTGGAATGTGTCAATCGTTGGAAATGTTTCCATTGGAATTCATTCATTACGCTAGGTAAAGGTAGCTATTTTTCTATTCCTTTTTATAATGATTAGGTGTTTGAGTCAGATTGTGTATATTTGGAGTTTTGAAATTAAAAATTGAGCAAATTTCTAATAGTTTTTCAGAGTAACTTGAACTCAAAATTTTAGATTTTATTTTTAAATCTTTACCGCTCTGCCATTTTTTAGGATCAATTTGTAAAGTAATTAATACAAAATAGAATAACAATGTTACATATCCCAATCTAAAAAAACAAATTTGGTTTTAGTTTTTAGAAAATTTTACTTTTTTATTTTCCTTATTTTATTGTTTTCAATGAATTTTTTTAATATTTTAAGTAATTTTTTTAATTTTTATACACACCTAACATAAATACACTTAAAAAGTATAATATTTATGAAAAAAAATTCACTAAATACCAAAAAAAAAATGAAAAATTGAGTATATTTTTTTTTGTATTTTTGTATATTTATTAATTTTTAAAAATATTTTTCACAAATATTTTACTATTTAGATGCATGTAAGTAAAGTGCATTTAAAAAAAATTGCTTAAAATTTTAAAAATATTTACTAAAAACAAAAAAATACGAAAAAAAAAATTCAATTTTCAAAAAACTGAATTCAGAAAATTAAAACCAAACACTTGAATGTTACATATCACTAATTTTATATATGAGTGTTAATATTATTTTTTTTTCACTAATTTTAAATAAATATTTTCTACTATTTTTATGTATGGGTACAAATATTATCTTTTTCACTATTTTCTTAATATTTATTTTGAGTACTCAAAATAAAATATCAATGGCATGTAGCAATTTGAAAGTAGAATATAATTGAATTTTTATTTATTTATTTATTTATTTATTCATTTTTTTTAATCAATAAAAGGAAATAGAGAAAGAGGAACTCCACCACAATAGTGACGTGGGCTCATTTGAGGATTGAATATTTTAGTCAAAAATTTATTATAAGTTATTATATTACTCTCTATTTTTTTATATATTTTTTCGTAAAAGTTAAAAAATTATCAAAACAGTCTATTTCCAAACGAGACTCTAGTCAAAAAATTTTAAAAATCACTATAAATTGTTAAATCACTGTCTTTATTTTTCTATACGTCTTTTCATAAAAAATCAAAAATTAATTAAAATAATCAATTTCTAAACAAGGCTACCTACCCAACCAACCTTAGGGGTTAGTTTGAGAATTTACTTTTTTAATGACTTTTTAACATTTTACAAAAATACATATACATCAAATAAAGAAAATGTTTTTGTATTAATTTTTTAACTTTTTTACTAAAAACTCTTGTCCCAACCAGTCTTAGGTCCCATCTGAAAATTGACTATTTTAGTCAATTTTTTGACTTTCACAAAAAAATGTACAAAAAATAAAAAGAGTAATGTGATAACTTAAAATAACGTTCGAAACTTCAAAAAAATTATTAAAATTTTTATCAAATATTTTACATGAGTGTGACATCCATATTAATTTGTCACTAATATTTTCCAACAACTTATAGGCTTGGTTTGGGAAATGAGTTAACTTTTTGACTTTTTTAACTATTTTAATCTGAGGCTAAAAAGCTTGATTTGATTTGGAAATAATTTTTGACTTTTTTGTAAAAGAAAGAATTTCATAATTATAAATTTAATGTGATATTTTATCTTATTAAGTAAAAAAACCACCATCTCAAACGAAGGCATGGTATCTTTCTAATTTTATTTTTTTTTGGCTATAAATCCCCACTTTCCAAATGGGAACCAACAATTTTTGCACAATTAATTAATCACTATAATTGACAAAATTAAGGTCACATTCATAATTAATCGTACTACACCTAACTAACAGAGTCCGGTCTCAAGTGTCTATGTCGTGAGAAATTTTTGATATTTCATTAACCACAATGCCAGCTGTCTATCTAATGTCTTGAGAAGAGCTTAGGTTGCTCATTCACATTTCATGGCGGCCATTCATAGCAATCCACGAAGACTCGCATCAACTTGTAAAACTAACTGGAGATGATAGAATTGTGCCCAGCATTGTTATTAATGTAACGACGACCCCAACAAAAACAATAAACAACATACCCATGACAGTGCCAGATCGATTGTTTGGCGCTACACAGGCTTTTATGTTTGTTTAAGTTGTATCTAAAAAGAGCGCTGCTTGAGGGCCCTAAATTTCGGGGCTCGAATGCCCCGAAATTCCACTTTTAGTAAAAAAAAAAAAAAAAAAAAGGAAAAAAGAAAGGAAAAAAGAACGGTTCCGATTCGTAGCTCGAATTTTCCGTGGCTCGAGTGGCTCAAAATTCCAAAACGACGTCGTTTTAGGATGTTTTTTTATTCTCTTACCGGTAAGATAATATTTTCCGTACCATTCGCGCCATTCGAGCCTCGCTTTCTCGAGCTACGGATCATTTTCCAAAAAAGAAAACAGTTTCCAAAAATGGAAATTAGGGGCATTAGGGGCAAATTTTTTAGGGCCACCAATCATTTTCCATCTAAAAAAATACAACGCTGATTGAGGGCCCGTAATTTCGGGGCTCGAATGCCCCGAAATTCCATTTTAGGTAAAAAAAAAATTCCATTTTTAGGAAAAAAAAAAAAAAAAAAAAAGGAAAAAAGAAAGGAAAAAAAAAACAGTTTCCAAAATTGGAAATTAGGGCCATTAGGGGCAACTTTTTTAGGGCCACCAATCATTTTCCAAAAAAATAATTATAATTTTGGGTATATTTGATTGGATGGATTAGAGTATAGGATTGGAATTATTAATCTGTGGGTCTAATTATCTTATGTTTGGTTTAAGATTATTAATCTAACGGATAATTAATCCAACAAATTTGTAGAATTATTAGTAATAAGGTAGGAGTGAGATTATTAATCCAATCCTATTAATCTAATTAGATAGTGAATACTATATTAATTTGATTAGATTATTAATACCTCACTATTAGTCTTTTAAATCAAACATGACATTTAAGTCTAGTCATTGGTTAGTATTTAAAAAAGTAATTAAAATATTTCATAATTAAATTTAATTACATCATATTTTTTAAATAAATATATTGATATTATTATAAATTGAAAGATTTTTTAAATAAATTCAATCGTATATCACTATAAATGTGAATTTTAATAAAATTAATAAATATAAAGTTTAGATCCTAATAAAAAATATATATTTTAATATATTATAAATAAATAATTAATTAATTTAATAACGAATCAGACCCAATTAACGCTGTGTTTGATTGAGGGATTTGGAAAGAGAAAGGAAAAAAGTGTGTGAAATTAAGTGAAATATAGATATGTTTTGTTCACATTTTACCTACTTTTTTCATTTTTTTTTCTAAATTTCTCATCAAATCTCCCAACCAAACATAACATAAAAGTATAAATTTCAAATCCAACGAATTTAATATTTCATGCTAAAAATATTGATCCAATTCAATCCTATGCGTTTAAAACCACCGTCCAGAACCTTGGAAAAATATGATTGGACCGGAAAGATTGGGGGGGCCAACGGCCAAGTGCACACACACTCTGTGCTGCCATGGAAAAGTAGGGGCCACAAGTCAATTATAAAGAAAGACTTTCAATGTTCTCAATTGGGACTCGGGCTGTGTCCAGTGCTACAAATTTCTTGGTGATTAAGAAATGTTTAATAATACTGACAAAGATGCCTATTGAGGTCACCACTCTTGCTTTACACATGTGCCTTTTTTTCATTAATGCTATGAATAATTATCAAGTTTAAAGGTCAAAAAAATGAAAAATCCTTAACCCCTTGGCCCTTGAATTTGCAGCCAATTGAATGTGCTATCAGATTTCTTAATATTGTGTTTCATTGGGGGATTTGAGAGGAGATTTGAAAAAAAAAATAGAAAATAAAAAAAAATAGATAAAATGTAAATAAAACATACATATATTTCACCTAATTTCACACATTTTTTTCCTTTTCATTTTCAAATCTTTTCCCAAATCCTCTAACCAAACACAACATAAGTGTTTTATAATTCATACCTAATAAAAATAACGGCAGTGATAGGTAGCTCGAAACCGAGCGGCTCGAAATGGCTCAAATTCAAAAACGGCCTCGTTTTTTAGATGAAGGTGAAGCAGAACCAGAAGCAGGGGAGGGAGGAGGAGGAGGGGAGGAGGAGGAGGAATGAGGAAGGAGAAGGGACTGGAGGGGGCCCAACATTTGGGGCTGGAAGCGGGGCTGGGGGGCGGAGGCGAGGCAGAGCCGGCGATCGCTGGTGCTGCGACGATCGGCGGCAGCGAGGCGATGGCAGTAGCGGTGGCGAGGCGAGCAGCGACGATTCTCTCTCCCTCTTTCTCCTCTGTTCTTCCTCCTCTCTTCTTCCTCTCTTCTCTCCCTCTTTCTCTTCTGCTTCTTCCTCCTCTCTTCTCTCCCTCTTTCGAGCCAATTCGAGCCATTGAATTCGAGCTACGGCTCATTTCCATAAAAATAAAACTAAAAACCTTATCATCCACCTAATCAACCTTTCATCTTTGATTTGCAACCAATCGAGTGTGCTCAATTTTGTGTAATAAATTTTTGGAATGTGTCAATCATTAGAAATGTTTCCATTGGAATTCATTCATTACGCTATGTAAAGGTAGCTATTTTTCTTTTCCGTTTTTTAATAATTAGGTGTTTGATTCAGATTGTGTATATTTGAAGTTTTAAAATTAAAGATTGAGCAAATTTCGAATAGTTTATCAGAGTAGCTTGAACTCAAAATTTTAGATTTTATTTTTAAATCTTTACTGCTCTGCCATTTTTTAGGATCAATTTGTAAAGTAATTAATACAAAATAGAATAACAATGTTACATATCCCAATCTAAAAAAACAAGTTTGGTTTTAGTTTTTAGAAAATTTTACTTTTTTATTTTCCTTATTTTATTGTTTTCAATGAATTTTTTTAATATTTTAAGTAATTTTTTTAATTTTTATACACACCTAACATAAATACACATAAAAAGTATAATATTTATGAAAAAAAATTCACTAAATACCAAAAAAAAAATGAAAAATTGAGTACATTTTTTTTTTTGTATTTTTGTGTATTTATTAATTTTAAAAAATGTTTTTCACAAATATTTTACTATTTAGATACATGTAAGTAAAGTACATCTAACAAAAAATTGCTTAAAATTTTTAAAATATTTACTAAAAAAAAAAATAAGAAAGACAAAAAACTCAATTTTCAAAAAACTGAATTTAGAAAATTGAAACCAAACACATTTAAATGTTACATATCACTAATTTTATATATGAGTGTTAATATTATTTTTTTCACTAATTTTAAATAAATATTTTCTACTATTTTTATGTATGGGTACAAATATTATCTTTTTCACTATTTTCTTAATATTTATTTTGAGTACTCAAAATAAAATATCAATGGCATGTAGCAATTTGAAAGTAGAATATAATTGAATTTTTATTTATTTTTTCATTTTTTCATTTTCTTTTAATCAATAAAAGGAAATAGAGAAAGAGGAACTCCACCACAATAGTGACGTGGGCTCATTTGAGGATTGAATATTTTAGTCAAAAATTTATTATAAGTTATTATATTACTCTCTATTTTTTTATATATTTTTTCGTAAAAGTTAAAAAATTATCAAAACAGTCTATTTCCAAATGAGACTTTAGTCAAAAAATTTAAAAAATCACTATAAATTGTTAAATTACTGTCTTTATTTTTTTATACGTCTTTTCATAAAAAATCAAAAATTAATTAAAATAATCAATTTTCAAACAAGGCTACCTACCCAACCAACCGTAGGATTAGTTTGAGAATTAACTTTTTTTAATGACTTTTTAATATTTTACAAAAATACATATACATCAAATAAAGAAAATGTTTTTGCATTGATTTTTTTAATTTTTTGACTAAAAACTCTTGTCCCAACCAGTCTTAGGTCCCATCTGAAAATTGACTATTTTAGTCAATTTTTTGACTTTCACAAAAAAATGTACAAAAAATAAAAAGAGTAATGTGATAACTTAAAATAACGTTCGAAACTTCAAAAAAATTATTAAAATTTTTATCAAATATTTTACATGAGTGTGACATCCATATTAATTTGTCACTAATATTTTCCAACAACTTATAGGCTTGGTTTGGGAAATGAGTTAACTTTTTGACTTTTTTAACTATTTTAATCTGAGGCTAAAAAGCTTGATTTGATTTGGAAATAATTTTTGACTTTTTTGTAAAAGAAAGAATTTCATAATTATAAATTTAATGTGATATTTTATCTTATTAAGTAAAAAAACCACCATCTCAAACGAAGGCATGGTATCTTTCTAATTTTATTTTTTTTTGGCTATAAATCCCCACTTTCCAAATGGGAACCAACAATTTTTGCACAATTAATTAATCACTATAATTGACAAAATTAAGGTCACATTCATAATTAATCGTACTACACCTAACTAACAGAGTCCGGTCTCAAGTGTCTATGTCGTGAGAAATTTTTGATATTTCATTAACCACAATGCCAGCTGTCTATCTAATGTCTTGAGAAGAGCTTAGGTTGCTCATTCACATTTCATGGCGGCCATTCATAGCAATCCACGAAGACTCGCATCAACTTGTAAAACTAACTGGAGATGATAGAATTGTGCCCAGCATTGTTATTAATGAAACGACGACCCCAACAAAAACAATAAACAACATACCCATGACAGTTTTCTCAAATAACGTAGTAGTATTTTCCGTAAATAATTATGGTACATTCATTTTTTTTGTTTTTTAACACCATGGAACTTCAGTTCAAAAAAAAAAAAAAAAAAACACCATGGAACTTCCATTTCAAGCTTGCAATATTCCCGCCAATCCAATTTCCCAAGTCACAAATTTACGTTTAAACACACATGATAAAAGTTCAACAAATTACTAAAAAAATTTTAAAAATAAAAAATTTGTACCCAAAAAAAATACAAGTTTTGTCATAATAAATGAAAATAAAAAAATCATTTCTAAACACTTCAATTTTTTTTTTCCTCATAAAACTACTAAAAATTACACTTCAAAAATGAACATGAATTTGGCAGCTCCAGTTTTCACTAAATAAAAAATGATTTCCCCTCTTGAATAACTTTGTGAAAAAAAAATTAAGGTAAAAGTTAAGGGAAAAAAATTAAACTTATACTTCATTAGCTTTTCGGTCACTCATTTCTTTTATCTTCATAAATCTATCTGCAAATTCTAAAACTAAACTAGGCGTAAGAGGATCACGCTTTGCCTAAACACGGTTTGCCAACTTAATGGGTTTTTCCACTTCCTCAAATCCAGCTTAAAATGGGATACACAACAGAGAGGGATGCTTAAACCACACAACTCAATCCATAAAAGCGAAAAGCATGAAACCTCGATGATGTGTCCACAAAATATATCCAAAGACACCCAACTCAAAGTATTGGCAAAACAATATTCAATGATGAGCCAGATTTCATTTAATTCAATTTTAATCTCAGACATATAAACTAGATCACAAATAAAAAACAAGAGCATGAAGTGCGGCCCAGTGGCTTGGAGGAATGCAGCCTGCCCATCGAGTTATGGGATTTAAACCAGCAATGAAATGAGTGAAATGTAAATAAAATATAACTACATTTTACACATTTTCCCTTTCTCTTTTCATACCCCTATCCAAATCCATGAACCAAACCATGTCTTAGTCGGTATAAGGATGGATTCCAGTGTCCATGGGGAACTAGAGGAAGAAATTTTTATTATGTTTACGTTTATGTTTACCCACAAGTTCTGAAGGAAAAATGAAGATAATTTGATAAGGATTTTGATTTTCTTTCCGAATGTAAAAGCTAGAGATAAAGCCTATATATCCACAAGGTGGCATGAAAAACTACCAGTACTCTACTAGAAAACATGTTTAACTCTACATTTGCTCATTTCATGAAGCAGGCCACACACTGAACAGTATCATGATACCTCCATGAGTCCCATGTCAATCATCATTTGAACCGACAACCTGCTGCTTAATCTCTAGAATTTTGGCAACCAATTCCTCTCTATTTTCCTGCAAAATTCAGATAAACCAATTAGTGTTGTCCTCTATAGTAAGGTGGACAAACTCAAACCAAAACCACACATAATGACTACCTTAAAGATTAGGTAGCGCTTGCTGAACCATACTGTGTAGCCAAGACCCACAACTTCCATCAATTTAGGAAACTGTTTTTATAGAATCAAATAAAAAGTTCAGCAAAGGAATATAAATAATTTCACAATTCCATGAAGCTCATACCGTTGGAAAGTAACTCAAATACAAACCAAAGGAATAGAGTCAATAGCACCAACAACGGCAGTTGCTATCCACAAAGCAATCAGGGCACCGCCACCAAATAGGAGAATTGAATATGTATCTTTAGAGTCGAACTGCAGCCATTAAGAAGTATGATCAATATGGCCAAGTAGCTGTTAAATGCAAATCTACTACTATCTAGATCAGTTTATGAACCATAAATCTTAATTTCCCAGCTGCCTGTGCAAAATAAATACCAGAATCTGATTCAATGATGGGAACCATACCCAAGAACTGACTATACAAAAATGAAACGACTTTACTGCAATACTAACAACAACTGAAGCGTAATCATTCAATTTGAAAGTAGCACCAGCATAATTCAAAGAATCAAAACTGGATTGTAGTTATAAATACATCAAAAGGAAGCAACAAGATGGGATTTAAGAAAACTGAATTGAAAATTGTTGTTTAAAACCAAGAAACATCTCACAAATCTATAAAGTATAATTTTTTATCAACTATAGTCCTGAAGCACCCGCATGGATCAACTTAAAGATCCCGCTAGTAGAATTAGAAGATCACAGTACTGGAATTGGGATCCAACATTGATGAACAGAAAATTTTAGGTGTGTACTGATACTCAAAAAGGAAGTAGAATTGAATAATTAAAAAAGAAACAGCGGAAATAGAGGGATAAAAACCTTGATTAATTTGCAATTCACAATTGACCTGCTTGTTAACACCCCATCAAATATTAATACCAAAATACAGTCAAAATTTGCCAAAGCAACATATACTCTTTACAAAAAATACATAAATAAATAAATAAATAAATAAAGAGTGAATTACAAAAGAACAAATAACAGATCAGGGGGTATGGATAGAAAACTTAAACTGGTATAACAAATAGGAGGTTGCACAAAATAAAAAAATGTGGGAATGGAAAATAACAGATCATGGTATATGTATACGAAACTAAAACTGGTATAACATTTGTTGCTCAGTTAACCGCTCAGGATCAACATAGTTGTCGACATTTCATCAAGTTTTTACATAAAAACTTTCAATCAGTATAGCAATCATCACAGCAACATCCTCTTCCCCTCATAGACTTGAAAAATCATTAAATGATATGGAGAGAGAAAAATCTGAGGACTCTACATACAAACAAGACCAATATAAAAAATTGAAGATTTAAAAATTCAATCCATCAAAGTAGGCAGTGGACAGATATATGAGATAAAAAAAAACAATAATAAAAAAAGTAGGGCAAAGTCAAAAAATCTCCCTAGCTAATCTACCCCCCTCCCAGACCCCATCCAATAAGGGATTAAACTAGGCGTACTTTTTTAAGATTCCAATACCCAAAAAATTCCAATGTAGAACATAAAAAAGCATGCCAAAGTTCCAATAAACTTGCTATCAAATCAGCTCCAACGTTGATTCCAGACGTTTGGAAAGAACAACTGAGAATTTTTTAAAAAATAAAAGGTAAGAATAGAAAACATAAGAAAGTGAAAATAGAATATTGAAGGGCATAAGAAGAAGAAAAATTAGGTTGCTCAGGTAACCGCTCAGGATCGACATGATTGTCGAAATTTCATCAAGCTTTTCTAAATTTCAATAAGTTACAGCATTCATCACAGCAACCAATTTTGATTTGTAGAAGCCCTCTCATTTGGGTCACCCTTTGCCATTTTGAAACAATAGCTCATAAAGGGTGGAAGGCAGATAGTCTAGAAAGAAGGAAAGATGGCAAACATGTACAAAAAAAACAGGGATCAAAGCGCATTACCAAAATAAAAACTCTGCCAGAAAAAATAAACCTTTACAAAGAGAACTTCAACATACATAACCCTATAATATACATATATTAGTGACAAAACAACAAAAATAAAAAGGTAAAATAAAAATAAAGTTACTGTGACCTAGTTCTAGAATCACTCTTTTCCTCAAGCTCAGAAGCAAGTAGGGGTGGACATGGGCCCTATGTAGCACAGACACGGACACGGGACACGACACAAACACGTAAAAACACAAATTTTTAAAAAATAGGGAACACGACACGCTAGGGACATGTTTAATATATATAATTTTTTTTATATATTATATGTAAAATTAAAAAATATATACTATTTTTATTTATTTATTTTATTTATTATATGTAAAATTAAAAAATAAATATATTATTTGAATTTATTTACAAAAAAAAGGGTGTAAAAAAGAAAAAAGAATAAAAAGAATAAAGAGGGGGTGAGACAGTCAGACACGTAATAAGGAAGAGGGAAGAGAAAGTGAGAGTCAAACAGAAAAAAAGGGAGAGACAGAGAGCGAGAGCGAGAGGCGACGATCAGAGAGCGAGAGGCGAGAAGAGAGAGAGATGGACAGAGAGAGAGGAGATGAAGACGATGAGAGACGAACACAGAGAAAGAGGAGACGAACAAAGACGCGAAAGAAATACCTCGATCAGAGACGAAGAGGACTCGATCTAGCCTCGATATAGGCTTCAATAGGTTCTCTCTCTTTCTCTCTCTCTCCCTCTATCTTCAATGGGTTAGAGTAAGTGAGAGTCAAACAGAAAAAAGGGAGAGACAGAGAGCGAGAGCGAGAGGCGACGATCAGAGAGCGAGAGGCGAGAAGAGAGAGAGATGGACAGAGAGAGAAGAGATGAAGACGATGAGAGACGAACACAGAGAAAGAGGAGACGAACAAAGACGCGAAAGAAATACCTCGATCAGAGACGAAGAGGACTCGATCTAGCCTCGATATAGACTTCAATAGGTTCTCTCTCTTTCTCTCTCTCTCCCTCTATCTTCAATGGGTTAGAGTTTCTCTCTGTCTCCTGATTAGGGTTTCTTTCTGTTTACAACATGTCCACAACGTGTCAAGTGTGCCCGAAAGGGTGTCCGCCTGCAAAAAATTCAAAAAAAAAAACAAAAAAAACAAGGACACGTTAGGTCGAGTGTTGGACACGTGTCTACCGCGTGTCTGACGCGTGTCCGTGTTCGACACGTGTCCGACACCCATATGCTGCCACCAGTGACATGTCCGTGCTTCATAGCATGGGCCAAACCAAAAAAATTAAAAATCGCATCCCATGCCCATGTTCACTAACAAACTCAAATATTAGGGAAGCGTTTGGTTATTTATATTTACAAAAATTTTATAAACTACTTTTTCTTATTTTTAGAAAAACATAAACTACATACGCGTTTGGTTTAAACAAAATATTTTTAAAAAATTAAAAACATAAACTAAAAAATATGTTTGTTCAAGCCTAAATGGGATGACTTTTTGGCTAATTACGAAAAGATGTGCAAAAAGTAGAGAGAAAAGAGAATCTTTGACTTTTTAATATGGGTTGTTGGCTTTTTGGCTAATTTAGTAACTTTTTGGCTAATTGGCTAAAATAGCCTCTTGCCAAACGAGGCCTTAGAAAAACATAAACTACATACGCGTTTGGTTTAAACAAAATATTTTTAAAAAATTAAAAACATAAACTAAAAAATATGTTTGTTCAAGCCTAAAATATTTATATTTATTTTTTATTATTTATGACGATAGGATTATACACATTATAATTGAAAAAAAAATTAATTAAAAAAAATTAATTGAAAAAAAAAATAATTGAAAAAAAAAATTTGTTAGTCAAATTTTTAAATTTCTGTGTAAAACTCAACATAAACTTATTTTTTGAGTATACATTTTTTTCTCAAATTTACAAACTGAGACAATCATTTATAAACCAAAAAAAATTATCAAACAAATTTTTATGACAGTTTTTAAAATTTTTGTAAATATAAACTAAAAACGAAATGGTTACCAAACAAACCCAGATAATAATAAGCTAGGAAGGGCTTTTAACTTTTTTAGATTTTTTGACTTTTTTGTGAGAGAAAGAATGTAATGATTATGGGTTAAATGTGATGTTTTGTAAGCTAAAAAGCCTACTTTATTTTTTGTGACTAAAATAGTCAAAAAAGCCCCAACCAAGGCTTCCCAAACGAAGCCTAATAACTTTGTAGTTGAGTTAGCACAAATACTAGGCATTTTACCCATTACATCATAGCCTCAGTTCAAACCTTGGTTTACGCATTTTCCCCCTTAAATACATTTTCTTTATTTAAACAAAAATAAATAAAACTAAATAATTATATATGTATTTATACAAACCAATACATACATGTATATTATATAATACATTAATAATGATGTCTAGGCGGGGCCTCAAAGGCTATTCCCAGCCGATAAATATTCAGCCTAGCCCCGACCTAAATATCCTAAGGAAGATCATTCTTCAATAATATTATTTATCATACGCAGAATTTAGCTTGCATGCATGAATGAATGCATAGAAAATCAACTTTTGGGAAACAGCGAGGACAAAAGAAAAATTATTTAAAAAAAAAAAAATATAATACATTAATAATGATGTCTAGGCGGGGCCTCAAAGGCTATTCCCAGCCGATAAATATTCAGCCTAGCCCCGACCTAAATATCCTAAGGAAGATCATTCTTCAATAATATTATTTATCATATGCAGAATTTAGCTTGCATGCATGAATGAATGCATAGAAAATCAACATTTGGGAAACAACGAGGACAAAAGAAAAATTATTTAAAAAAAAAAAAAGGGAGAGCAGGGGTGGGGTTGACAGAAATGGAAAATTGAAAAACAAATGGTGATGAAAAGACAAATAATCCAGAGAATGTGAAACTCGAGTAACAACCTAAGATACATGGTATCTTGATTTTATCAAGCATTCAATATATGTTGACTTGAATTAATTTGAGGCATTTATCTTGCGATTTAATTACGCCTTTAAATTAACCACTATGAAGCACGGGTACTCCAAAAATAGTGTCGTACACGCACCGGGTACTTACCGGGTGTGGGTACGCGTACCAGTACGGCTGCACGCGTACCGGGTACGTCAAAAAGTAGTCGGGTACTTCTGCCTCAGTTGGGTACGGCATGGGTACGGCTCGGGTACGGCATGGGTACGCCTTTGGTGCGTTTTGGGTACGGCGGGGGCAGAAATCAAATTTTCTGAAAAATTGAGGGGTACCGGAGCAATATTAAAAAAAATTAAAAAAAAAAGAAAAAGAAAAGATGTGTATACGAATGCCCTAATCTCATCACTTTTTTGCCCTAATCTCATCGAAGCAAAGAGAAGAGGTGACTTCGACCATTACCCTCTTCTGCGACTTTGAAACAGAGATCGACTTCGACCCTCACCCTCGTCTGCGACTTCGAAACAGAGATCAACTTCGACCCTCACTCACCCTCGTCTGCGACTTCGAAACAGAGATCGACTTCAACCCTCACTCACCCTCGTCTTCGACTTCGACTTCGACTTCGACCCAGAGATTCGACCCTCGCCTTCGACTTCGAGCTAGATATCGACTTCAACCCTCGGCTTCGACTTCGACTTCGACGCAGAAATCACCCTCGTCTTCGACCCACGGCATCAGAGGTATATCTCTTCATCTTTATTTATTATTTTTTTTTTCTTGTTTCTTCTTTAGTTATTAATACTGAAAATGCTAATAAATATTAGATATGAAAATGCTAATAATCATAAATATTATTATTAGTTATTAATAATAAAAAATTAGAGATGAAAATGCTAATAATTATGGATCTTTTAACCATAATTATAAAAAATAAAAATATATCGGCGTACCGCAGCCGTACCCGTACCATACTTTTTTTGGAGTTTTGCCGTATCGGCGTACTCGTACCCATACCCGTACCGTACTCGTACCCGCACCCATGCTTCTTAGATTAACCAAGGTGGGAAAAAGAATTACAGATAAACCACAACAGGGTCTAGGGGTGGACAAGAAATTGGAACAAAATAAGACAAGAAGGAAGATGTCAATTTGCACTTCAATGACATAAGCCTAACAAGTGAAATTAAATTCAGTCAAATCTGCAAGGCAACCACATCAAGTTTCATAATCCTCCAAAATTAAGAACCAATTGTAAAACACTTGATTCAAACAAAAACAACTTCTTTTAACACGCATTTGTTACTGAAAGTGTTGAAGTGACTGAATATGCCAAGTATGCATTGTAAAAACTTCTCCATTCTTCTTTTACTTTCTGGAAACATATTTTTTTAAAAAAATTTAAAAATTCTCATTTCAATCTCCTTAATTTCACATTAGCCCTCCCAATCTCAAAAAAACCTCATTAACAAAGCAATTTTGATTGTTTATAAAAGAAATTCACATTTTAACCCTCCAAAATTGAAATAAATTTTACTTCGGCCCCTCAAAATTTAATAATTTTACATTGGTCCCTTGTACAATTTTTGGGTCCACCATTGGGCCCTACCACACATCATTAACTTATTTTCTTAGAATAGTTGGGATGATTCAAAGGGCTAATCTTATCGCAGTTCTGATTTTGTACCAAACACTTACAAATACCATAACAAGGAAAACTATTTCATGTAACAATATGCACAAACTAGGGGCACCTTCTACCACAACATGCACTAGGGATTAGTAATAACCTTTATATCAAGCTCGTCTAGAAATTCAAATGCTTGCACTTGCCCATCCAGGGCAGATTCTTCTTTAGCCACTTCTTTTGGTGCAATTTCAGCATATGAATTGTTTTCAACCGGTAGAACTTCTTCCACAGTAACTACTCCAGATTCTTCAACATATTGGCTTGGACCGCTTGATGTGTCTTCAGATGTTGATCTTAGAGAGGAATTTGTGTAATAGAGCAATCCTGAAAAGAAAACGAAAGTGTACAATTTTAAAATTTCAGATTGTCTCATCATTTCTATATCCCCAAGCTAAAACCACAAGCCAATAAAGGTAGTATCAGCTCCAAAAAATTACTTGGTGAGCGGAACTGCTACAAAAATAAAATTGCAAGCAGTTATTTTTAAAAGGCCAAAAGTTGTTTTGCTCAAATGGGAAATAAAATTGCAAGGCGATTGCAATTCTATTCCCCAATTGAACAAAACTTTTGGCCTTTCAAAAATATAAGACAAAATTAACAATTATGGTTTACATCATAGAATCACCAGCATCTGCATGCATGCCCAAACCAAAAAAAAAAAATCAAATGCTTAACAAAAATCATTACTCTAAAACCAAAGAACAAAGTTCACAGTAATAAGATTTCCTTGCCAAGGTGTAGCTATATATATAACCTACTACATATGTATATAATGCGTGATTTCAGACTACAGTTTGGTTGAGTTTTCAGTTTGTTTTTTTTGGATAAATATAGTTCGACAAAAATAAACAAGAAAGATACTAATTTAGTTTTCAAAAATTATTTCCGCCGAAAAAAAACAGAGAAACCATAACAAAATGATTTTTTTCGTAAATTAAAAAAAAAATACACCGAACTAGTTTTTAATTTTAATTTTTTTTTTTCAGAAAACAGTTCCGAAAACTCGACCAAACAGAAAATTTTCAGCAATAAGATCACTGTAAAAGCACTAGCTACATGTGCACATGTGAGCGGGTGTATTTTACAGGAGGACAAACACATCTTCCTTGAACAGAGAAGTTACCAAACAAGAACACAAAGAGTCCATTGGATAGCCAAGTATAGCAGAGCATAAAGGTAAATCAAACACATATCTATAAAGACACAAATAAAGGCCCTAATCGTCCATTACCATACCAAAATTCTGAAAACTAACTCGAAGCTTTCACTATGTTGATGTCTAGGGTTGAAGAGAATGGAAATGCAAACCTTGATTGGTGCGAGGGATTGAGAACTGCTTGAGAGGTAGAGAGGATTGCCATCGGAGACGATGAGTGTGATTAGAAGTGAAGAGTCTGTGGTAAGGAAGATTGGAGAGAGTTGAAGCAATACAGAGCTCCATTTTCTGAGGCAGCTTAGGCAGGACAAGGTGTTTGGTGCTATCTTATAGGAGTGCTGCCGAGCTAGGACTTGGGGTTTGTGGTTACCCTAAACATACATCGAACGGTCTAGAATTCGTGAAGGTTTGCCCTCGGGATATGTGTTTTATATTATCTTGAAGTAAATTTTTTAAAAAAATTATTCAGCTTGGTTCGTTCTAATTTTCAAAAAAAACACTTTTTAAAAAATTTTATTTTTCGTATATTAATATTTTTAATGAATTTTTTTTAATATTTTAAGCATATTTTAAAAAAAAATTAGACACACCTACTATAAATACACTTAAAAAGTATAATATTTGTGAAAAATATCTTTAAAAAATCACTAAATACAAAAAAATATAAAAAAAATACAAAATTCAATACATTTTTGTATTTTTGTGTATTTATTAATTTTTTTAAATATTTTTTAACAAATATTTTACTATTTTAGATACATCTAAGTAAGGTGCATCTAAAAAAGTAAAAAATTTAGTTAAAATTTTAAAAATATTCACTGAAAATAAAAACAAAAAATAAAAAACTCAATTTTCAGAAAATTGAATTCAAAAAACTGAAATCAAACACACTAATTTTAATTATCTTGAAGTAATTTGATATATTGTCTTGTACATAAAATTTATAAGTTAACTTTTTAAATTAGTAGTTCAAAAAATTAAAAAATAAATCTATTTAGTGCAATTTTGATAATTTTTATTAAAAAAAGTTAAACTTGATTAAATGAGATTAAATAAGTTATGACGTACTTCTTCTTGTTACAAAAATATACAAGTTTAAAAGTTATAATTAAGATAAATATATAATTTTATTATTAAATGAGAAGTGAATTGATATTTAACAATAATTAATATGATATTTATATTATTAATCTAATAATTTAAGTCACATTTCTGTGTATTTCAATTTCATAATTAAAAATACAATATAAATATAATATACACACGGATTTCTAGTCTTTAAGATTAAGAATGTTTCAAAATATTTTCAAACTTTCATCATTTTCTTTAAATTTTTTTTTATCTAATTTGATTTTAAATTTGAATAAAAATTTTGATTTGATATGAAGTACTTTAACTTTTTCATTAATTTTTTATCAATTTCTAAAATAATTTTCATTCTTATCCCAATTTTTTTTTTCCTTTTCACCAATTTTGACAAAAAAAATAATTTTTAACGTTTGATCTTTTTAAATTTTTATTAAATTATAATTTGATAAAAAAATATATTAAGGGTTGAAAATTCTTTTAATTAGAATTATAGAAAAATAACATCTTGAAATAGTCAAAGTTTGAGTATGTGGTTGGTTGAAATGTATAATTTAATTAATTCTCTTCTCTTCTCATATTTGTGTAAAAATTGACACTTATGACTACATCATTATAAGTCAGATTATGAAAAAAATTTGAGGTGTCAAACATTTTCCATTTCTAATATATTAAAAAAAGAAAAAGAAAAAATGTGCAGTTTTTGGATATGTGTTTATCAGTTTTGTTTTATGGACATACACAATTGATTTTTCAATTTAAAAAATTAAAAAGTAAAAAAAAACAATAGATTAGGTTTTTTTACAGATAAAAGAAACCATCTAACTCTTCTATATACTATTTAAGATAGACTATTTAATCACATAAAAAAATAAAAATTATATTCAGAGATTGTCCCTATATATTATGCTATTACAACTGCAACAAATTAACTATAATATATATGAAAAGTTATATTAAGTTTTCATTTTCAATTAATTAAATTATAATTAACAATTAACAAATAGCAGTAATAGTATAATACGATAGAAAGATGATAAAAATAAAGAACACAATAATATTTAAAAGTTTAAATTTACCTAGTTATACAAAAATCTAATGTTATAGTAAAATCTTGAATTCTGAATAAATTTTCACATTTTCTATAAAATAAAATGACAATAAAAAATAAAAAATTTCATACCCATTTTTTTTACTTCAATTTTATGATCTTCATTGAAGATAACAAAATCTGATCAAAATCATTGACACAGAATGGACATAGATACTTCGATGGCAACCATAATCACCAATAATTCTTCTCCACCATGCAAACCTATAAATAAACACATAAATCTCACTAAAACCGAAACCAAAACCAATACCAATACCAAACCAACAGTAGAGAAAGAGAATCACACATGGAAAAAAATAAAGTTAAAAAACAAATAAATTTGTGGAACGGGAGAATGTTATCTCTAACAATTTAGACCTCACCTAAACTAATCTGTTAACGCCTCCATCAGTGTCCGCGAAGTCTAAGAGTTGGGATGACTAATCAAATTATTCTTTAAATAAGACTTGAAAATTGATTAATTTGTCCCATTAAATGATTTAAAATTTTGATAGATATATATCAGAAAAATAGATAATTATATTGCTAAATCATAATTCAAATTTAGATATTGTTATATTTTTTTGAGATCCATATCTAAATTCTAATCTTTTTATTTTTATTTTTATTTTTATATAGTTTCAATTTGTTTTTTTTTCCCTTCAATCTATCCATCTATCTATCTATACTATATATATATATATAACCAGATGTAGTTATTTTGTTAAAAACCTCCAAATATTTATTTCTAAATTCTCATAATTTTAAAAATCTATTTTTCCTACGTGTCAACCTTCTTTGGTTGCCTTTCATGCTTATTTTTCTTCATTTTCTATTTGTTTAATTAATTAAAATTAAAATTAATTTCATTGCTTATGGATAAAGATTTGAATTTCAAAATTCCTCCATATAGATAAACATATAAAAACTGAAAATTAATTTTATAGTCTACAGATAAAGATAAAAATTAAACAATTAATTTTAAAAAATTAATTTCATAACTTATAGATAATTTAAAATTTCTTCCCGTAAATAAACATATAAAAGTTGATAAATAACTTATAAAAATTAATTTTATGGCCTACAAATAAAGACCAAATGTAGTTGTTTTGTCAAAAAAGCCTCCAAATATTTATTTCTAAATTCTTATAATTTTAAAACTCTTTCTTTCCTACATGTCAACCTTCTTTGATTGACTACAAATAAAGACCAAATGTAGTTGTTTTGTCAAAAAAGCCTCCAAATATTTATTTCTAAATTCTCATAATTTTAAAACTCTCTCTTTCCTACGTGTCAACCTTCTTTGATTGCCTTTCATGTTTTCTATTTTTTTTTCATTTTCTATTTGTTTGATTAATTAAAATTTAAATTTGTTAGACTTATTTATTTTGATGATTTATTTAATTATGTTTTAATTTATTTGAAAGAGAAAAATAGAATCCAAAATTTATTTTGATGGTTTATTTAATTATATTTTAATTTATTTGAAAAAGAAAAATAGAATCAAAATATATTTTGATGATTTATTTGAAAGAGAAAAATAGAATCAAAATTTATTTTGTCCCATTATTTATCACTTAAACCTTTATCCTAAATATTATCAGAATGTATTTAATATTTGATTAAATCAGGAATTCAAACAGCCCAGCACAACAGCAGGCCAAAAGATTCAAAAGGTTCAAGCGGAAAATATTTAAATTTGTAATGATGGAGTGAAAGATATTCAAATTAGTAATGATGGAGTACTCAAATAAATATAACGGTTATAAACGGCTATAAGTTTCATTATATATGCCAAAGCCTCTAATGTAAACAAGTTACAAAAAAAAAAAAAAAAAAAAAAATATTCTTTGATCTATAATCACTGACATCTATTCGCTGAAAAATTCTCTGAGAAATGTTCTTCAATTTTTGTTTACATCATCTCTTAGAAATTATACACTGAGCCTTATAGCATTAAGCTCATCTTTCCTGTGTGAGATTTACAGAAAAACCAAAGCTTCATTTTTATATCTATCTTTGAGAGATAATTATTGTAGTTTTCTGTGAAAACAAAAATACCTTTTTTTCAACCTTGTAAGAGTGTAGTACACTCAGTGTTCTTTACTTGGAAAGTCTGTGTAAAATCTGTGGAGGATTGCTCCATCTGTGAAAAGGTTGCTAGCACCCTGTGAAGTTAGAAGATAATGAAAAATCTCAAGTGAAACTTAAAGAGTGGATGTAGGCATGGTTGAAGCCGAACCACTATAAATCTGTTTGTCTCACCTTCCCTAATCTCTCATTACAAGAATTTTCACTTTTGGCGACTAAATTTTTAGTCGCCAAAAGTCATTTTTTTCGTCGCCTATAGTCTTTAGCGACTAAATTTTTTGGTCGGAAAATTTGTAGCCGAAGAGTAGTCGGGAAAGCTTATTGGTGACTAAACTTAATTTAGTCGCCAATAGGTTGGAAATTTAATTAAATAATACATTTTTGCCGACCAATTTTTTTGTCGCCAAAAGCCAATTATTTAGTTACGGAAAAATTTTTAGCTACCAAATTTTTTAGTCGCCGAAAGCAAATATTAGTGTTTTGGCTACTAAAATTTTAGTCTCCTAAAGTCAATCTTTTTTTGCTACTAAAATTTTAGTCGGCAAATACTATTTCTTTTGGCTACTAAAAATTTAGTCGCCTAAACTTCCACATTTTTGGCTGCTAAAAATTTAGTCGTCTAAACTCTCACATTTTTTGTTACTTAATTTTTAGTCGCCAAAAGTATTTTTATTCTTCCACTTTTGTTTTTAGCTACAAAATATTTTAGTCGCCAAATGTTTGATTTTCTTTTGGCTACAAAACTTTTAATAGTCAAAGGTTTGATTTTCTTTTGGCTACAAAACATTTAGTAGCGAAATGGTTGTTTTTCTTTTGCCTACAAAAAATTTAGTAGCCAAATGTTTGATTTTTTTTTTTTGCTACAAAACTTTTAGTAACCAAATGTTTGTTTTTTTTTTTTCCTTTTTATTGGCTACAAAACGTTTAGTAGGCAAAAACATGATATTATGTTTTATTACAAATATTATAATGTGTCCATAACCTGTCTGTATTCCATACAACCTATAATACGTATATAAATAAAATGATACATAAACTATCAATCATTCCACAATCTGCAT